TGTGTGTGTGTGTGTGTGTGTGTGTGTGTGTGTGTGTGTGTGTGTGTTAAAGCTGTAGGCCTATTAACAGATTCTAAAATAACACGCAGGATCAGGTATAGTAATTCTTTTTTGTTTATTGTCTTCCATCAACTTAGCTTTTATGATTTTCTGTTTTACAATTGCTTTTGCTTAAATAATACAAATGAACACTTTGAGCAGGTGTACTTATATTCAAAGTTTAATAAAGACCATGTTAGAAAAAAGTGATTTCTATATGCGGCTTCTCTCAGGTGCATCTCATATAAAAAATAAATGGAAATTTAAATACTTAGAAAACAAATGCTGTAGTGACAGCTGAATTGGTGAGATTGCCTTCCCTTCCCCTCCTTCCCAAATCATATATATAAGGAACACTGTCTCTTTAGACACCGGGTCCTTTTTTATTATTATACTGCAGATGTTAACATGAGAAAAAGTATTTAGCTCTCAAGTAATGAATTAAAATGTGGGTATTATTACAAATAGTCTTTCTTACAAACCACAAAATATTACTGCCCTTCTACCTGCATTTAAGTTTTCATTCAACGCTTGGAATTCCTCTGTAGACTACTGTAAAGCATTAGCTATTGAGCTATAGGTAAGTCTTTATTAAACTAAAATTAGCCAGAAAATCTGAGATGAAAGATGTTTTATGCTCTTACTGTTATGTATTCTCTGTCAAGCTATGGAATATGGCCCCAGGTTAAAAGATATTATTTGAGCTATTAGATGGATGCATGCAGAGTAATTATTTGTTGTTACGTATACTTCGATAGAATCCTTGATTTTAGAGTTTACTAATTTCCTTTGTCTGACAGACATGTTAACTTCATTTCAGATGAAACATTCTTACCATGGGAAATGAGTTTTAAAAGGAATGGCCAATTAAAACTATTGGTCTTTTGTAATGCTGAACAAAAGAGTATTTGCTTTTTTTCCCTTCCATTTCACACGATTACAGTAAAATTGATGTCTTCACTTTTTTGTTCTGGAATTTTGTAATGAAAGAGCAAAAAACAATAAAAGGTCTAAGGATCAGAAAGCAGAAACAAAGATTTAAGTTTTTGAATCTTGGGTAAGAGTATTGACCAGTTGGAAGGGAATAATTATTTTCTAGTAGCTGTCGTGATATGTAATAAAGGTACTAATAGTAGCTTATTTGGGACTAGGTAGAACCTGAGGTGACATTGCCAGGAAAATAACATACAATAGTTACGGGAATAATTTTCATAAAGTAAAATAACTTTTAAAAATTACGTTTTAACTTTTAGAAATGTTATTTATACATACCACATACATTGTTATCTTGTTAAAATTTTATATTATAGAAATTGTCAAACATGAGAAAATAGAATGATACACCTACTGGCCAGTTTTGACAATGACCAACTCATGGTGCATCAAATTTTATTTGTATCTTAACACAAGAAATGGATCTGTTATAAATGGGTACATAGGACAGGTAATCAAATTGAATTTTTGTTTTATATTTGTAATTTACAGAATACTGTATACTCAATAGTGTCCAATATTTAATTAAATCTGAATGGTCAGTTTTTATGTTCTTCATTGATTCTTTAGCAGCATATACATTTTAATATTTCTGGTGATAGTTTGTGTGTTTTACAGCAGGTACCCAAAGGTAGTGTCTCTCAAATTTTGCTGTCTTCATAAATCACAGACGTTATTAAGTGCTTTACAGTTTTCAGAATGTATTTACATAGTACCTCATTGATTCTCACAATAATCCTGTATGGTAAGGTAGATATTTGTCCTTTTTTTTTTTTTTTTCCTTTCCCCCTGTAGGTAAAGTGATTTGTCTAGGCCCTAAGGTCACATAGCAGTTTTTTTTTTAGCCCAAACTGGACTCTAGGTGGCTTCTAGTTTTTGTTCATTGCTCTTCTCGTTATACATGTTTATGTAAGTTTATGAAAGTTATGTATGGAAAATGAATTCTGATCAGAGTAAATTTAATGATGAAATATAAATAGGTTTGTTTGGGTTAAGCTTTATACATTTAATCATACTTATATTTTGTGTAATGCAAACAGTTTGTATTTTAATTTACTTGACAGCTAAGCGAATGTGAATGTATCTGAAATACTATATTTTTAATATTGTGGATTTTTTTAAGTAAGGAATTTTGATTTCAAAGAACTGTTGGTCTTTGAAGTGACTAGGGGTGTCTTAGATCTTGAATAAAAATAAGATGTGCTATACTACAAGTTTCTTCTTTAAATTCCTGCTGTAACTTTTTATGCACTTGTTTTTCTGCTATAACATGTTTATTACCTAAATCTCTTTGAAATACTGATTGGTTCTGTAATGAAATTTAATTTAAAAGGTTCCAAATGGGGAGATTTTAGTTCCTGAAATCCAAAACCTGGTTATAAATCTCAGAAAAAAAGGTGTGGTTCTCCAGCATTAGTGTGCATGAGAGTCACCTGGAGGAATTACTGAAAGTGCAGATTCCTTGGCATTGCCCCTGGAATTCTGATTCAGCAGATATGGGGTGGGGCCCAGTAGTCTGCATTTTGAGAAACATTGACATTGCATTTATAACTAAGTTAAAATTATGTGGTAGAGATAATGTAAATCAGTAGCAAAGTTTGATTCATTGATGTTGGTGGCTTTTGTGACAATTGTAGAACTGATAAATTAGAAATATTTCTGTTATTTGTGTATGTACAGTCTTTCAGAATATTCATCTGTGATTACTTAAGTTACTTATTAAGCACTGTAAACTCTTAGAGAATGTTCTTTTGTTTTCATGTCTTAATGTCTCCCATTTCCAAATGACTTGGACATCGGGGTTTATATTCATAAAAATAATGCATGCTTATCCTTTCAGTAGTGTGTATTTATGCTTTAGTCTAGCTCTTATCTTTGTTAGAAGAAAAGATTGGATACTCCTTCGGACTAAAAGGACATA